GCTGCTTCCACCAGAACTCACGACGGCCGCCGGCAGAGACGAATCTGTTCTGTGATTGCAGCACCTGGAGAGGGAGTCCTGCTAGGGGACGGGGCCTGGAGGGACTTGCTTCACTTCTCACCTGCCAGGGCAAGTCGTGGCCTCCTCCCTGTGAGGGGATGAAGGAGCACACATGTCATACACCCAGGTGTAGAGAACTGGAGGCTGGTGAACAAAGGCCGGCCCATGTTCTTCACAGCTTTCTGAATCGTTGCGTCTCTCAAGTTCACCAATACCCTTGCCTCATTGCCCTCAGCACCACGACAGGTAACGGTCAGCTCATCCCTCAGTCTTACTAACTAAGGTGCCAACACCTTTGAATATATTGTCTTACTTAGTCCTAAGGAAACTTCTGATGCCAGCCTACTGGCATTCCCATTATACAGAGTGAAACGTGCATATCACAATATGTGGGCAGGAGTCAAACCCACTTCTTGGTATGACTTCGAATGTCTCACATTGTGATTTGTTTCCACTTGCCAATTCTTGGCTGACTTCTCTCACTTCAAAACCTACCATCATAAAATGCTATTGAAATGGTCTTTGAAAATGAATAGTGGGGAAGGAAGGGTTGGAAGCTGCTCTGTACCCCATCCTTTCTCAGGGAACATCCAGGGTAATGAAAGGAAAGAAGGAAAACTGACTAATAAATCTCCTTTAAAGATGCCAATTTGAATTCCTGGTAGTGCTAGTGAGAGAGAGTGAGGAGTCCTTATCTGCAGGATGCTTATAGCAGGTTATATCCAGCCTACTTATATTTCTCATAGTAAATCACTTTTATGGATTGGGAAATGTATGGATTTGTGGGGCATAGCTCAGTTACAATACCAATGACTGTGCATTGATAGGGCATAAAATGGAGATGTGCTATGTCCAAATGATCCCCCTTTGTGCAGGCAATATCTCACTCACTTAGCGATCGCATGTGTCCAGTCCGGGTCAGGAAACACCCTGACGCATCAGGGAGTGAGGGGGCAGCTGCTGGAGGATGCTCACCACACTGCCTCAAGGCTCTCTAGCCTTTGGTTTATAGGAAAACCTGACACTGCTTAGGGTCTCCGATCTTGTGAGCATGATATGGGCCTCTGACATTTTGTGTTATCTTAATGTCTAACCAATTTTATTGCCTTTCTGATTTATATTATGAAAGCTTAGGAAATAGGGTTGTTTCCCTGTTCGGGAACTTCCTGAAGGTGAAAAACCAAGCTTTCTCGGGTCTCTGAACAGGGTGGATCAGGTGTCTGTGGGCTGCAGGGAGGACTTAGCTGCCCTTTGAAAGATGTGCATAGGGAGTGAAGTAAGCTAAACGGTTGAATATTTGAGTCAAAGGGTTTGCGTATGTTCTAAGTCAAGGCAATGCATGTTTTAAATATCACTTTTATTTCTGCTAAATGGATATAATAAAGCCTGCCGCACACAGTTCAGGTGTTTGGAAACCGGGAAGTTTCCTGGGGGGTGCTTTTTCCGTCCCCTCGCAGACTTCAGCGACCCAAGCATGTGCACAATAGGGATTCCATTCACGGGATGAGCACAACTGCTCACAGGCATTCTAAAGCACAGGCCGAGCCCTGTTCCTGCACCAGGCAAGGGGAGCCTGCCTATGGCCTGAACGAGGCTCATCCGGCCCGCCCGGATCTCCGCACGTTGCTCCCCACGCACTGACAGCCTGCTGGCCTTTCACGGGGCCTGGGCACCTCAGGAAGTGCCTGGCTCCAATCCCACGCGCCAGCACTTGCTTCCTCTTTCTCTTCCTCCAGCTCCTCTGCATTTTCCATCCGTTTTAAAGCTGCCATAAAAATGATGAACAAGAGTTTTAATCGTTCTCAGCAACACATGAAAAAGTCTGTTTACCAACCCTGTGGATAAAGACAAGCAGTTCTTAAAAAAGAGGTGCCTGATTTCCTCTCCCTGTTAGGAAGGAGCTACTGTTCCTCTTCCTCCCCCTTCCTGCAGAACATGTGCAAGGAAAAAAATAAATCCACATTTAATTCTCCACCTCTCCCATTAGCAAGGTCTTTGAGAGGATGCCATTCTCCATTTACACAAAGAACAAGTCTCTTCTGTTCCTCAAAACGATTGCAAACTGCCAGTAGGCAGAGGCCACACTTTTGCATGACCTAATTTTCCACCAAGAGCTGCATGCAGGCTTTGAACATGGCAAATAATCTTTGCGGATTCTCACTGGGGGACAGAGAAGACCTCTGCTAGTTGAATAACAGATGTACAAGACTTTATATCAAATGGTTTTCTGTGGAACCAAGACCTGGAATATGTCAGAAGTTGTGCCAGAAAATAGTATTTCTATGGTCAAATTGTTTGGAAAGGCAACATATTTATGGTTAAAGTAATGGTTTTATTCTAGCTGTAACACTAACAGCACACTGAAGTTTTGAGTGGGGTTGCATGGAACAAACCTTTTCAATTTCAACCTACTGTTCCCCACATTTATTTCAGTCTGCACTACTTTTTGCTTAGATCAGGGGCCAGTGAATGTTTCTCTTAAAGGGCCAGATAATAAATAAATGTTTAAGTTTTGCTTGTAAAAGAAAAAACTTCTGTGTAGATGCTTATTTAGCCATCTGAATACAACCATTTGAAAATATAAAAATCATTTTACTTATGGCCCATAAGAGAAGGTGGCCAACCAAATTAGGTTTTTGGCAACGGGACTGTCCGCAGTATGGCAGAGCTTGGCCCCTGCATGGTGAGAAATTTGTGAAGTACTTCTACAGTCAAGAGAGGGTAGGATTTGGCTCAACATTGCTCAAGCATTAGTAAAGTGCTTGCACACATTTTAATTTTTATAACTGTTCATTCTACTCATACTTGGAGAAAACACATAAACATTTCTCTCTTTAAAAAAATTACATATAGTTTTTTAAACTACAAAAGAATTATATACAAAAGAATAAAAAAGAAAACCATCTCACAAACCAGAGATAAATATTCTTAACAATGTGTTATATTTCTTGCAAAGTTTTCTAATGCATATTTTAAATGGTAAGTAGATTCTTATGAAAGTATAGAATACATGGCCCTGAGGTTTCTAAGGTTTCCTTGTTTGCAAAAAGAAGAATGGCCTTAAGTACAACTCAGAGGGACACTGTAATTTAGACTAAGGTGGGTCTGCTGTAAAGTGTGTGAATGACTCACATACCATTTTGGTGGACTTTTCAAAAAGTTTGTATTTTTTCTCTAAATTTCTGTTAATCAAATATGATGTAGTGAAACAAACTGCTGAGCAGACACCACTGTTTGCAGTGGAATCTTTTTATGCAGCCTAACACTATTGGTTAAATTTGCTCCCTGCACCGTGTCAGAGCTTGTGCTCTGGGTGAGCTGAACTATGCTATCAACACAAAGGATTCCTAGGAGAGCAGCTGGCCCCCCAGCTATGCTGCATACTTGAATTGCTGCACAGCCTTCTCTAGTCTGTATTTCATGAGCTAAAGTGGAATTAAATGATAGCACTCACTGTCATAGAGCTCACTGTCATAGCTACGTGTTGCTAAAATCTGCATTCAGTGCAGTTTGCGATCTGTGAAATGCATTTTGCTCCATCAGAGCCTCTCACCAATTATTTCACATGAGATTCTGCACATGTACAGAAGTGCCTTTGGAAGGTTTTTACTGATGTGTTATGAAAGTTGCAAACATATATTGACTCTCAGATTCAAAGTCTATATGTACGTTAGGGACTATTGATTGCAATAAAGTCTGCTTCTCTTGGCTGCTTGATGGGACAGGGTCATCTGGTGATTTTCACATCTGTTGGTCTAAATATGGACTATTTCAAAGTTCTCCACATAAATTTCCCTGGGTCTTCAAAAATGGGGGAATCATGCCCAGGGAAGGGAATGCAAGTGCTGCCACGAAGCTCCAGTGGACACAGCTGCCAACAATACATTAAAGCACAAATAACAAAGAAATATGGTGCACACTGCTCTGCCCAGCCAGCTCCCAAATTTCTGTCAAATTTTAATGTTGGCAAAGGAGAAGAAACATGTAGAAGAGATTAGAAAGACCCTATTCCACAGTCCGCAGTCTGAAAACCAAAGTGAAAGCTAAACAGCTCTGACAGAAAATAGGTTAAAAGAATTTCAGTTAAAAGGAAGGAATGGTAGAGAGGTAAAAATAAAAGCAGAAATTTCAGACAAGTACAGAAGCCTGTCGTGGGAGACACTCGACTGTTTCCTGTTATTGCATTTCCCAGCACTGACAGTTTATGTTCAACTTCTAAGCGAGAGAGGAAACTAGTTTGCGAGCTGCAAGAAGTGTGGGCCTGTCTCCGTGGAGAGGAACAGGATCTGAGGGGATACCATGCCAGAGAGCGATGTGGCAGCTTCCCTAGGCGACGGTGCCTGGCTACCGTTCCACTGGACGCTGCCGGAGTGCCTTCCAACGTGCAGATCCTAACAGAAGATCCCTTCCCAGGCTTCGGCTCATTTTCAGTTTCATGCAGAACTCACATGGAAGGAAAATTATGCTGTGTTTCTGTCGTTTCTGTCCAGGAACAAGTGAGCAGCTGGAAGGGAAAGAAGTGGCCTTATGTACTTTTAAAAGATGGGCTAATCACTTAAGAACACAGCAGGTTCTAGTATCTCTGTGCTTCCTTTGATTAGTGACAACAGTAAGGAAACGTTCATTTCCGGTTGGCTGTCTTGTAATGGACGAGTTTGTTAAGAGTCAGGGAAGCCCACATGCGTGTTTTATGGTTCTTAGGTCCCAAGGCCTGGTTTCTGTGTCCAGACTCAAGTTGTACAATATTTTGACTATTTGACAAAAATTAGTTAAGGAGATTGACCATTGCACAGAGAAAAATTTAAATTACAGGCTTACATTGAAGTTGGTTAAGATTTCATGAACCCTCCTAAAGAAAAAAAAAGATTTCATGAACCACTCACTGTTTCACCTGCATAACTTGTAACTTCTTTTAAATTATTTTTCTTTCAGTGTCCTTGAATGTAATGGACTGCTGGCCCTTGACTTTGCACTTCCAGCCTCCAGACTGTGAGAAGTCGGTTTCTGCTGTTTATAAGTCCCCCAGGCTGTGGTATTTTTGTTCTAGCACCTTAAACAGACTAAGACATTGAATACTTTTGAACTCTCTGTTGCTATCCTAATGCTAAGGTTTTTGAATAGTTATGCAAAGAGACTTTGGAGAACATGAAAGTAGAGAGGAAGGCACTGAGAACATCTGGGAGAAAGCCAACTTAAACCGACAGCGAGGGGCACCCGAGGGCTTTGGGGAGTGTTAGAGCACACCCGGACTGTGGGAGACCCCCTTCCTTGGGATCGCGGCTGCATTCTGCCTTCACACTGCCCGCCTGTGATTTCCTGGCCTTCAGCTCCGCCCCTCAAAGCCGTCCTACCGGAGGCTCCATGCTTGTGCTCAGGACCCGGAGGCTCTGCATCCTAATGGTAGTGCTTCTCTCGCAGTGCTCTCTGGCTCCTACTCCCGCTCCCTGGACCCCCTCGCCTTCTTCCTGGCTGTCCGTCCCCTCACTCCTTCCATCCCTTTGATCCCAGACACCGTGAATGGCCACCTAATGACTTACCTCCCACTTCCTGGTGTGCATGCTGTAACCTTGTGCAAGACCCCAGCTCACCCTCCCGGGGGCCATCCTGGTCTGCGCTCCTCCATCCAGGCGAACAGTCATGCTAAAGAAAATCCCACAGTCATGGAGGTAAGTTCACATCACACTTTTTTTGAGTAAGCATCCCTTTCAGATGCTGTTGGGCATCCCTCTTCTCCTCAGTATCCAGCGGCGGGCTGCATTCTTCTCCAGACTCCAATGTACCACGAAACTTCTCATTGAGAAAGTCAGTCCCTTCTACGTGCCCAAGAAAGATAACCCAGACCACGTTCATCCACAACTACCCATCCTCCATGCTGTTGTCATGAATCCCCTGTCCTGTCCCAGGGTCTACTGGACCCCAGATCACCCCCAGAACTACCCATCCTCCATGCTGTTGTCAAGAATCCCCTGTCCTGTCCCAGTGTCTGCTGGACCCCAGACCACCCCCTGCTTTGGGAGACTGTTCCAGGCAGCATGGCCACATGCATCTTTAGCTCCTTCCTATCCCTGAATTGTTCCACTGGGCTTAGGAACCTCTTTGCTGATAACTCCAAGCATCGTTTTTAGTCCCTCTTCAGCTGGTCTCTCTGCAGCACACGCCACCCTCACC